AACACGCTAAGGCACATAGACGGTCTAAAACGAGCGGTTCAAAGGGCGTGGAAGTAGCCCAACAATGCGGGACAATGACGTTCGGAATCCGGCGGGTTGTTCGTGATCCGATTGTACAATAATTACCAACCGATGTTCGTACAATAATTACCAACCGGTGTTCGTAAATGTACATATAAATGTGTATAAACTTGATTTGTGTATTGCAAGTGAGTGAGTTGAGTAAAGTGTAGTTCTTTGTATTGATTCTTGCATAACCTTTTGATATTACACAAGAAAAGTGTTTATAGTGATACATGTGAAATGGGAGCCCTTAGATGAGGTGGCATGTGGCCTCATCTCTTTGATTCAAACATCCTAGGCATGGGGCTTGACCTGCTAACTTGCTACGCATTTATTGCTTTGTGCAGAGCCTCCATACTAGTGACAAGACTTGACCTTTATGCTTATGACAAACGTTCCATCAATCATTCGAATAAGATTTTTGTGCAGACGATCTCTTGGAAGAAGTGATCATGGAGGATACTCCCTTGTGGTTCGAAGGCTCTTTGCATCAGTTACGGGGCTTCAGCTATTTCATACAATATTTCCACTTGAGGGCTTCAGCTAGCTTCAACAAATTTCAGCCTCATGGCTTTGGGTCATAGGCCTCGGTACTCGACCTCGGGTACATTCACAGGCCCCAGTAAAGGGCGGGGCCTCGGCTAGTGGACCTCGACTTGAAGGGCTTCGGCCATAATCCACCTCGACGATCCAAGCCACCTCGGCTGGAGGGCCATGTGGTTCGCCCTGGGTGGGCCATTGGCCCAGGTAGAGTGGCCAAGTATGACAACACGCAACAATAATGATCTAATTTAAAATTCGATAATCCATTTGTAGGACGTTGACAAATTAAATTATCAAATTCTTTTGCTGACAATTAATCAAACATAGTTATCAAGAAATTACACCCTGTTTCTTCGTCGTAATTTCCATTCCAACTAGATGTTTCTACAGTCTTTTTCACTCTCTTTCAAGAACTATTAATTTCCATGGACTTTCTCGTTTTCTCCATTACAAAAATTAAAAATTTGTCGTTCTCAAAATTTTCTACGCGTTTTGGTGATTCAACTGTACGTGGTCTTTCTTTTTGGAAAAGCATGATAAAAAAGATATCTATTGGTATAACTTATCTTGATCGATATTGAAATGAAACACCTACAAGAAGAGGTTAGAGTTATCTCCCCATGGGTTTAAGTGAAGAATTTTTTATATACAAGTAGAGAATGCCGAAAAGTAATTGTAAAAAAAACCCTTCATACCTAGTAGCCTTCGGGCATTTATAGATGGCTTTCCGACCATGCAACCACAAGCTATTTTCCACCCACATGTATAGCGCCCACTTGCATGTATAGCGATTATCTCTCGTCCATGCATATAGTGGTTACCTCTCACTCACTAGGCCCAGGGCCGGTCCTGGGCTGAGGCGAGTGAGGCCCGCGCCTCAGGCCCAGGACCATAGGGGGCCTCGTTTTGATCCAATTAATTTTTTTTTCTTTTTCTTGAAAACAAACTGGCCCAAACCAAAACCAATTATCCAGCAGACTTAAAGGGCCTAATTTTGGCCCAATAATTTTTTTCCCTCTTAAAAACAGTCGGCCCAAAAAACCAAAACCAATTATCAACGAGCCCACAATCCATTTCCCTTTCAAATTATTTACCCAACCCAATTTACCAATCTAATATCCACTATCCAACCCAATTAACCAAAAATTCCCAAAATTCAATTCAATCAAAAACTCCCAAAATCTAAAATTTCCCAAGCTGTATCTGCTCTGCTGCTCGACGCCTGCAGCTCTGCTCGTCACTGTCGTCAGTCCCCACTCCAGTCCGGTAGTCGCCTGTCGTCGTCACTCGCCTGTCTGCCCGGCGCCCTTCAGCTTTTGCCGAGTGCCGAGCCGACTGCAGGCTACAGCAGTGTATGAATTTTAGTCTTGAACTTTGGTCTTTAAGTTTGCTGGTTGAAATTATGCAGCAAAATCAGAAACTCTACAAAATAATTCCAAGCCTGAAAAAGTCAAGTCATCTAAATAAAATTACAGGAACAAGAATGCTTAATTAGAGAAAAATCAAGAAAATCCATGCCACAGAAATATACTAATAAGTATATTTTAGTATTTACCTGTTGGTAGCTTCAAAAAAGAAAAACGAAAATGTGAAAGTGGGCTGAATTTTGAGCGGAGAGCGGATTTGGGGGAAAATGAAATTCCAATATACGTGATGTACTGTGCATTTAGGGTTTGGGCTGTTTGGCCTATAAGCCAATAAATTTCAATGCGGTCACTGAACTATCAGAAGATTCTCAATTAGGTCACTAGAATTTAATTTAGTTTCAATTGAGCTATTGAACTTCAGTTTAGTTTCAATTGATTTCATTGAACTTCAAATTTCAATTCAATTACTTAATTGACAGTCATACTATAACAAATCTTCTAATAATTCTTATGTGACATGCTAATTTACTACTACAACATATCATAAGAATGTTAAAACCTAAAAAAACAAAAAAAAAAAAAAAAAAAAAACAAACAAAACAAAACAAAAACAAGGAAA